AGTAAACATAGGGTTCTCGTGCTACTCCCAAGAGTTATTCCTATAAACATCACATAGTTATTACTATAAATGTCACATAGGACAATTACTTAAATCCAATTAATTAAAAGTCTCTGATATCAGGAGCACTAACAGGCCCTAACATTACTAACTTTGTTTTTCTCTAACCTATAAAAAGCAGTTCAACAGCCAAAGTAGCATATCTCATTAAATCCTCTTGAGGTAGCTAAGAAAAAGATGGCAATAATCCTATTTTCTAACCAAAATTATGAAACATAGGGATATAATTTGACATGTGGAAGCAAGCCAGGAGTAGAATCAATACTTATCCTTCAGTTTTCTGGTTAGTGAAGGATCAAATAAATCTGAAAGCCTTCCTCAAAATGAGGTCCACAGAAGAGGACACTCTGACTAGTCTCCTCCACTTGATGGGAATTCATGTGACACACCTGACTCAGGGACCAATGTGAATACTGCCTGCTCTTCTTGTGCTTAATAAAACCCTCTCATCAATCAAGTCTCCACTAATGTCATCTTTTTTGAGGGCCCTTCCTACCCTGTTTTCTGCATAGCACTTACAACCATTAGGAGTTACATCGACTCTTTACACATTTATTGTAGGCACTGTCATGAAGCAGAGACTTTCTCTCCCATGTCTACTATACTTGGAACATTGCACTGACCATTTAGTAGATGCTCAATATGTATTTGTTGAATGAATGACTGGATTTCAGAACTACTTATATTCTGAGAAAGGATGCAACAGGGCCATGATAATATCCATGAAACCCAGATGCATCACAAACCAAGTAAACAGGCAACGGTGGAATTTTGCAAAACAATCATAATCTCAGGAATTGAAGATCTGGTAGATTTAAAAATAAACAAGATTCCTATGAAACTAAACACAATGGTAACATAATACTTACAGTATGTCATTCCATTTCTGTTCCCTATATTGGTAAAAGGTTTATTTTTAAATCTCCCTGAATTGGATCAGGAATCAGGTGATTTTTCTGAATTGTATTTTAGAGTTCCAGCCTCTAGGCATTTAGGTTTTAAAGAACAATGCCTAGAGAACCAAATGTGATTTTTCTAAGACCTAATAGCAGAAAGGAAACCTAAATGAAACCTGAGGCTATAAAAATACTAACTGACATAAAGAATATTACTGTCAAATTGCTTTTTTATATATATATATATATGTATATATATGCCTACCTCTTCTAGTATTTATAGGTCCACCACGCATAGCCAAAACTAGCTTTAAGGTACACCCTTCTGAAATGCTGTGGAGAGTTAACACAAAAATAAATCATAATCATCAAAATGCATTCAGTGCTAAATGTACACATAATTACATGCTGGCTTATCAGGGAGAGTGCCTACTCTCTAAAATATAAAAAGATATAGCAATGTAAATACATATAAAATGTTAACGTATTTATTGGTACAAATAATAAAAGAAGTGAAACAAATTCTCATAAGCCATAAAGAAATCCAAGAATAAACATACTAGAAAAGACCTCTGTGACTATGTGTTTTAGCTTGTTCATTTCACATTAAGGACAAGGAGGCCCAGAGAACAAAAGTGGCTTGCCCAAGACCCAAAGTGTAGAAAACAGCAAATCTATTTAATAAAATAGAAAACAGAAAAATAACAAGGTCTCCTGGGCCGGGC